GCTATAAACATTGGGGTGCACGTACCCCTTCGGATCCCTACATTTGTATCTTTGGGGTAAATACCCAGTAGTGCAATTGCTGGCTATCTATTTTTAATTTGTCCAATCTGTTTTTTGTTTTGCCTTGACTTTTTTCCTGCCTTCTTTTGGATTAGTTGAATATTTTTTATGATTCCATTTTATCTCCTTTTTTTGATTATTAGCTATAACTGTATTATTTCAGTATTTCCTTTAGAGTTTATAGTATACATCTTTAACTTCTCACAGTCTACTTTCTAATTTATATTTTACCACTTCATGTACAGTAAAAGAACCTTATAATATTTGAATTTTTCCTCTCCTGGCTTTTATGATATTATTGTCATGCATTTACTTTTACATGTTATAAGCACAAACATTATTATTATTTTTATTTAAACAGCCAAGTATCTTTTTTTTTTTTTTAAGATTTTTATTTATTTGACAGAGAGAGACAGTGAGAGAGGGAACACAAGCAGGGGGAGTGGGAGAAGGAGAAGCAGGCTTCCCGCCGAGCAGGAAGCCCAATGTGGGGCTTGATCCCAGGACCCTGGAATCATGACCTAAGCCAAAGGCAGACGCTTAATGACTGAGCCACCCAGGTGCCCCCAGCCAAGTATCTTTTTAAAGAGTTTTAAATAAGAACAATAATTTTTGTATCTATCCATGTAGGTAACATTTCTGGTAATCTTCATTTCTTTCTGTATATTCATGTTTTCATTTGATAGAATTTTCCTTCTGCCTGAAGGACTTTTCTTAAAATTCCTTGTAATGTGAATCTGCTGGTGATGAATTCTTTCAGTATCTGTATGCCTGAAAATATTTTTGTTTCACTTTCATTTTTGAAAGATAGTTTTGCAGGGTATAGAATTCTTGTTGACAGTTTTTAATCTTTCAGTGCTTTAATGTTACTCTGCTGTTTTCTTGCTTGAATTGTTTCTAGTGAGAAATCTGATGTCATCCTACTTTTGTTTTTGTATATGTAATGTGACTTTTTTTCTCTGATTCCTTTTAAGAGTTTCTTTTTCTACTGGTTTTAGTAGATTGCTTATGGTATTCCTTGGTGTAGTTTTCTTCATGCCTCTTGTGTTTGGGGTTTTGTTGAGCTTCTTGGATCTGTGGATTTATAGTTTTCATCAAGTTTGGAAACTTTTGACCTTTATTTCTTTTTTAAAAAGTTTTTATTTATTTATTTATTTGACAGAGAGAGAGAGAGAGAGAGAGAGACAGCGAGAGAACACAAGCAGGGGGCAGTGGGAGAGGGAGAAGCAGGCTTCTCGTGGAGTAGGGAGCCCAATGCAGGCTCGATCCCAGGACACTGGGATCATGACCTGAGCCGAAGGCAGATGCTTTAAAGGCTGAGCCACCCAGGCACCTGACCTTTATTTCTTAAGATATTTTTTGTCTCACCTCCTCCTGACTTCTTCAGGAATTCCAACTACCCAAATACTAGGCTGATTAAAGTTTCCCCACAGTTCATGGATGCACTTTCCTTTTTTTCTCTTTTTTCTTTTTGTATTTCATTTTGTGTAGTTTCTGTTGCTCAAGTTCACTAAGTTTTTATTCTATAATGTCTAATCTGCTAGTTCCATCCAGTGTATTTTTCATCTCAGACATTGTAGTTTTCATTTCTTGAAGTTTAGTAATAACCGTATTCTGGAATGAAAATTCATTTTACAAATTTCCAGTGGCTTTCCTAAAAAAGTGATGTATATATGTATGTATGTATTTATTTAAATAGGCTCTATGCCCAATTTGGAGCCCAGTGCAGGGCTTGAACTCATGAGCCTGAGATGAAGACCTGAACTGTTATCAAGAGTTGGATGCTTAACCGACTGAGTCACCCAGCTGCCCCATAAAAGAATGTTTTTAAACAAGAGCCCAAATCAGGGATTTTTTTTCAAGGAATTTAAAACATCCAACAGTTAACTCTTATAGACTAAAATCCTTTCACGTGTGTGGGGCTCCTGTTAAGCATCAGACTCTTGATTTTGGCTCAGGTCATGATCTCAGGGTTGTGAGATTGAGCCCTGCATCGGGCTCATGCTCAGCTGAGCCTGCTTGAGATCCTCTCCCTCTGCCTCTCCCCTTGCTCTCTCTCTGTCTCTCTCAAGTAAATAAATATAATCTTAAAAAAAGAAAAATAAGATCCTTTCATGTGTGAAATAGCATTATTTAATTCTATTCTAATTGTGAATTTTTTTAAATCTTAATTTGCTTTCTTTACTATTTATCATCCACTTATATTTAGTTTGCTATTACTTTTAAGTAGTGTAACTACATTCCTTTCAGAATATCTATTCAGTTTAGATTCCTTTGTTAATTGTTGGCATATTTTTGGATTTTTGCTTAATTGCATTTGTGAATGGCCAAAGCATTGAGCCTTTATAAATAGGCAAGAATGCCAATGCCTTTTGTGCATCTAGTTTAAGAAAATGAGGCTACAAATTCCTGGAGAATGGGCAATTATCTTTGAAATTATTTCATGTTTTAAGGTTATTCCTTTATTAAGCTTTTGTTTTGACAGTGAGGTTTGCTTTAATTATAAGTTTTCTTTCTTGCAGGGAAACTGCAACTCTGAAACTTTAGAAAAGGCAAATCCCAAGCAGTAGTATAAATCGGTATAATGGGTGAAAAATGTTCAAAATATTCTGCTTCTGTCTAATAATGGTTAGTCATTGGAAATGTAACATCCATTGGAGACAGTTTATAAGAATTTTTAAATATTTTCTTAGGTAAAAGCGATACAAATAACCCTGGACCTGAAATTAATAAGATTCGAACACCAGAGAAAAAGCCTACAGAATCAAAACAGGTATGCTGCTTACATTTGGTGAATGGATTGTCCTGATGGATTTAGTCTAATTGATCATCTTGGAATCTTGACGTTTTAAAGAAAATTTTCTAACTTTTTATGTATGTCTTTTATGTTTATTGTTTATGAGGATCTGGTGGGTTGTGTTATCCTCTCTTCACCTTTTCTTTGTGGCTACATTATCTGATTTATTCGTATACTTTTCTCAAATTGTGTTATTCAGTGATAGACTTGAATTTAGAGCCTTTCCATGATAAAGTACTAAGTGAAGACACAGCTGTAGATGTGTCATTGAAAATAATCTCAGAATGCAAAGAGTTGGTGTAGTGAAGAAGGAAGACTTAACTTCCTTAAGTAGCTTTAGCTTACCTTGTTCTCTCATTACACCTTCTGTATAAATCCTTAACTTTTTTAATTGAAGTATAGTTGACACACAATGTTACATTAATTTCAGGTGTACAACATAGTGATTCAATGAGTCTGTATGTTATGCTTGCTCACCGCAGTGTAATTACCATCTGTCACTGTACAACGCTATTACAGTACCATTGATTATATTCCCTGTGCTGTACCTTTTATCCCCATGACTTATTCATGTCATCACTAATCCTAAATTCTTTATCCACCCATTCATCTACTCTCCTTGCTTCTGTACTGGTGAACCAGTTAGGGAAAACCAGATCATTGGTTGAATTAGTGCCACTGGAAATCACTAAGATTTTATTTATTTATTTGAGAGAGAGAGAGCACAAGCGGATTGAAGGGCAGAGGGAGAAGCACACTCCCAGCTGAACAGGGAGCCTTATGTGGGGCTCAATCCTGGGACTGTGGGATCATGACCTGAGCTGAAGGCAGATGCTTTACCAACTGAGCCACCCAGGCACCCCTCAAGCGACCAACTCTTATGAACCCACTTCAGTTGTAGTCTTACTTGTCTTTTCTCTGGTATTTGTTACTATTTTCTACTTCATTCTTCTTGACCATCTTGTTTCTTTTGGTTTCTTTGACATACATTTCTACTTTGCGCAACTCTAACGTGACCTGTCTCTTTTATAAGTTCCTGCCCACCCCCTTCCCATCTGTCCCTAGTCCTTACGTTGGGGTTTCCCAGGTTTCTGTCACTGTCCTACACCTCTCTGCATTCTATGATTTCTCACATAAACTAGGTCAGTTCCATGGTTTTAAATCTCTGCTGCATGATAATGACTTCCAAATCTGTATTTCCAACTTAGCTGGGTTTAAGCAACTGTACTCTAGACTCAGTGACTTATGTTCCATAAGCAGCTCTGAGAAACGGTTTCTACAACTGAGAGGACTTAGTACCTACTGGAGGAGTACAAATGAGGCAGCCGGTGACCCTTCGTGCTGGAGCCTGAGGGGAACTGCCGTGCAAGTGGAGGTTCTGTGTGTGTGGAAAGGGATGCGGGGAGAGAGTAGGCGGCAGTGAGGAAGCCGTGGCAGCCCTTCTAGTCTGAGGCAGCACAGGACACAATCTACCACAAGAGCCTTGGGTACTGTGAGAGCCGCCGAAGCCGAGATAGCCAAGTGTCTCTCTTGTCGTTGTTGTAAAATTTCTCTTATGATCTTTCCCTGTTCAGGAACTAGGCAACCTGATAGATGTGTTTCATTTTCTTTCCACCCATCAATGCTTTGTCCTAGGGCCTCGGGGCAAGCCAATTCCTAGCTCTCCTTGACTCAGTGCCTCAGTATTAAGAGGAAAGTGATGGAGGATAATCTGATTCTGGTAATAATTTAATTCTCAGGCTCCTTCAGACATTACAGTCCTCTATGCTGCTTAGCCCATTATTGTAGTGTCATAGAGTAGCACAGTCTTCCTTCCTTCCTTCCTTCCTTGACTTATTTATTAAAGATTTTGTTCATTAGAGAGAGAGAGGGAGCACGCACAGGGGGAAGAGCAGAGGGAGAGGGACAAGCAGACTCTGTGCTGAGCACAAAGCCCGACGTGGGGCTTGATCCCATGACCCTGAGATTATCACCTGAGCTGAAACCAAGAGTCAGATGCCCAACCGGCTGAGTGATTTAGGTGCCCCGAGTAGCACAGTCTTTTTTTTTCTTTTTAAAGATTTATTTATTTATTTTAGAGAGAGAGAGGTGAGGGGAGGGGCAGAGGGAGCGGGACAAGCAGACTCTTGGCTAAGTGGGGAGCCCAAGGAGGGTCTGGCTCCCAGGAACCTGAGATCATGACCAAAATCAAGAGTTGGCCGCTTAACCAACTGAGCCATCCAGGTAGCACAGTCTTGATTAAGTTTCTGTGACCGGCCTAGCTTCTTGTCCATGTCAAAGTCAGAAGTGAAGGAGGCAGCTTGTCCATAAACAACCTTGACATCTAATCATTACGATCTCCCTCATGTGATCTGAGTATGCTTTTTCAACAGCGTCTTATAGAAAGATGTATATCGCAGCTGAATGTAGCATTAGTCATCAAAAAGATGAAGATTTATGGGGGACAGTGTTTGTTTATAAAGAACCTTAAGTAGGTTCTGAAACTTTGTTTTTAATTTTGCAGATAAAGTTTAATGATTTAATATATAAAGCTTAAATCTTGGCTCATTGTAAATGGTTAATGACAACTCATTATTCAAGACCCTCCATATTTATAATGCCACTGTGGGTAATGGGCTCTGAGACATTCAGAGAGCAGGCTTTGCAGCTGCTTGGGAAGACTGGGATGAAATTGTCATTCTTTTTTTTTTTTTTTTTT